AAACATTATGTGATGCATGACGGTAAGTTCGGGTGTTAACACTCGAGACTAGGCCGCTATTTGTTATTATGCATTATGACAATTGTTTGATTATTGATTATAATGAATTAATGATGGTGAACGTTTTGAATGATGATCATGAATTGTTAAAGTGAAAATAATGAATTAATGAATCGTATTGTTAAGGATATCTAGAACAACTCTAAGATATACCCACTTGTATATTGATGATGATTATTAAGGATATCTAGAAGAACTCTAAGATATACCTATTTGACCAATTCATATTTCGGGTTAAAACGTACGTACGGGATCCAGACCGGATATCACCCACCCGACAAATCATTGTTCGGTTGGTACGTAATCCACATGACTCATAGGGTGGATTATCGATTCTTGTGTTCTGCATTAAACTATTTATAGTTTAAGGGTCTGGTTAGAATTACTGCCTTAGACTAGGAATAGCTAAGAGCTGAATATAAAATGATGTGGCCTTAGATTAAGAATAATTTAAGAGCATTATTGATATATATTGAATATCAAATGACTTGGAATAAAATATTGAAAATATTTTGAATGTTTGAACCATATATTGTGTGCATGATATCAAATGGTTGATTACGAATTGAGATTCAATTTATGTGGATGTTCGACGCTTTAGATATGCTTACTCAGCTTCACCGCTGAGCGTGTAGTGTGTTTTACGCAGGTAAACAGAAAGATTAATGTGATCCTGGCGGCAGATGGGGCGAGATTGTCAGGATGGATGTGACAAGTTTTGAAATAATTTATGATATGTCAATATTAAATTCGCTTCCGCAATATTGTTAAATACTCCATAATGTATATGTTATGAAAAATATTATTGGGATTAATAAAGTGTGTTTGAAAAGTTTTAAATTTTACGATAACCAAGTTAAACACTTTAGTCCGAATGGGGCTGCAGACCTGGACGGATTAGGGTGTTACACATGTACCGTACCAGCCGATTTCAGCCACCCATTTTATTTACTTATTTTTTTTAAATTTTTAGAAGTGGAAGTGTTAAAGGAAATAATGAAATAAAATATCTAAAAAAGTAGTTGTTATTTAAAAATTAAAAAATGAGTAATACATGAACAACTACATTTAATATCCCGACGGTTCAAAAAAAACGACGAGATAAAGAACCGTAAAGAAACTCTCGAAGGAGCTTATATATCGCTACCTACAAAAACTACTTACGTAATTACATCAACATAAAAAAGTTTATAACTTATTCCTCAGATTTAGGGCTTCCATCTGTGGTTGCATTCATGTAATGTTCAGAATTAATGTCGTACCCTGACTCTTGAGCTTGAAGTCTTTCCAAGAGCCATTATCAATTGCAAACAAGTGCCTCAAGCGATTCAGTGCTAAGATAATTTCGATAGTCAGTTAAAATGTTGCCGTTAGAACTGAATTCTTGTTCCACAGCTACAGTTGATACCGTGATGGGGAAAAATTGTCTGGATAGCATTCTGAGACATGGGAACATGTGTTCGTTCTGCTTCCACCATGTGAGGACGTCAAAGTCTACGTCCTCGTCCTCGTCGTAATCACATGACACCCCTTGGTACATAGCAAGTTCGTTGTGTGACCTTACAATTGGATTAGCAGGCTACTATCGTAAATTCATTCGTCACTTTGGTACTATCGAAGCCCCCCTTAATCGGTTGCTAAGAAAGGGTGGGTTTTATTGGGATGCTAAGGCAGAACAGGCCTTCACCAGGCTCAAAACAGCCATGACTTCACCGCCGGTTCTCAAGTTACCCGATTGGCACAAGCCTTTCGTTGTTGAATGTGATGCTTGTGGTGTGGGCCTTGGGGATATTCTAATGCAAGATGGGCATCCAGTCGCTTTCTTTAGCGAAGCTTTGAAAGGGGCAACACTTCATTTATCGACTTACGAGAAGGAAATGTTAGCAGTTGTCAAGGCAATTAGAAAATGGCGCCCCTATCTGTTGGGTAAACCGTTCATCGTCCGTACGGATCATAAGGCACTAAAACATCTTCTAGAGCAGCGCATCATAACCTCAGCCCAAACCCGCTGGTAACCTAAATTGCGTGGCTACGACTACAAGATTGACTACAAAAGTGGGAGTTTAAATAAGGAGGCAGATGCTCTGTCAAGGGTGGCGAAAATTCAATGCATGGCGATCTCGTACTTGCAATCTGATTGGTGGCAAAGAGTTCAAAACATCCTCCACAGGGGACTCAACATTCCAAATCAGAGAGGGATTTTATTTCTATAAGGGAAGGGTCTATTTGAGCCCAACATCCAGATTGATCAAAGATATTCTTCAGGATTGTCATGCTTCATCTGTCGGCGGCCATTTTGGCTTCCATAAGACACTTGCCTAGATCCGTCAAACTTTCTTTTAGCCTGGAATGCGTGAATCAGTTCGCTCTCACATCCGGGAGTGTGTGGTTTGTCAGCGTTACAAATCAGACACCATGCAACCAGCGGGTCTCCTTCAGCCCTTCCCTATTCCCGAATGCATTTGGACTGATATCTCAATGGATTTCGTCG